CTTGCTGTGCACGTGCCTCCTTACTTATCCTGGCCTCTTTGGAGGAGCTAGGTGGAGAGGTGAGCAACTGAGGATCCCTTTGAATGCCATTCACATCCTGACTGGCACCAGCTGCTGCTCCTACTAAGCACCAAAAGCTTGAGCATCACCCGCTTCTCCAGCTGGGTGGCAGCAGCTGGGGTCAGTTGTGAACTACCATGAAACTACCCCTTCTCTTTTCACTCCCAACCCCAGAGACACTGCTCTGAACCAAAGTGCACCTCTGGAAAGCTGCTTCAATAGTCAAAGGTGTTTTTTGTTTGTTTTTGGGGATCTTTTCTTGTATCGGGGTCATTCAATTGGATGGTGCAGTGGCACCATCATGGCTCACCACAAGCCACCAATTTCTGGGCTCAGACAATCCTTCTGCCTCAGCCTGTTGCCCAACTAATTTTTTTTTGAATTGGAGTCTCACTCTGTCGCCCAGACTGGAGTGCAGTGGCCGATCCCAGCCACCGCAGCCTCGACCTGCTGGGCTCCGGCGATCCTTCCGCCTCAGCCTTCCAAGCAGCCGGAATTACAGGCATGCGCTACCACTCCCGTCTGATTTTTTGATTTATTGTAGAGATGAGGTCTCGCTGCCCAGGCGGGTCTCGAACCCGCGGGCTCAGGCAATCCACTCACCTCAGCTTCCCAAGTCGTGGGATTACAGGCTGAGCCACCGAGCCCAGCTTGATTTTTTTAAAAATAGCTTTAAGGGTGCAAATGGCTTTGGGTTACATGACTGCTTTGTATAGTGGTGAAAAAGTCTGGGCTTTAAGTGTACCCATCACCCCCATTAGTGCATATTGTACCCGATAGGTAATTTTGCATTCTTCTTCCCTCCACCCTCCCCTTCTGAGTCTCCAGTGTCTGTTATACCATTCTCTATGCCTTTGCAGACCCTTAGCTTAGCTTCCACCTCTAAGTGAGAACATAGTGGTGTTTGGTTTTTTGTTCCTGCATTCCTTCACTTAGGATGATGGACTCCAGTTCCATCCAAGTTGCTGCAACAACAGACATTATTTTGTTCTTTCTTATAACTGAGTAGTATTCCATGGTACCACATTTTCATTACAAAGATGTTCTCAGCACACACATACATGGAGACAGCTGCAAACAAGGACACCAGCTGGTGGGTACAAGCACTAGGACTGTGACCCACACAGAAGCAGACACACGTATGCATGCATAATCACATGTGTTCACACATGCAATGTTCATCCCCGTGCACAGGCAGTGGGGATTATGAGCCAGCACTTCCAATTAACCAATTATAGAGGCATTTGCTGAGCACTTCTTAAGGGCCAAGTTTGGAGACTTGGCTCTGGGGTCACAGAGATGGGTAAGCAATTCACAGAACACTCTGCCGTAAACAGTGACTGCAAAGCAGAATACGGTGTCAGGAGGGGTAGAATCCCAGGATTTGAGGGCTGAGGAGGGAGGTAAATTCAGAGGCACCCCCATTTCTAGAGCATTTTATAGTTTCTAGAACACAGCTACAGGTAGGCTGAGAAGTTTACCTTACAATCTTTGTGACTCAGAGAGGCTAGGCTCGGTCTTCAAGCTTCACTGACTCCAGATTCCTCTTACTGTAGCTGGGACTTTCTGGGAGCCCAAGGGCTGTGGTCCAGGCCTTCAATGGACTAAGGTTCCCTGTGGGCCTGACTGATGGGGTCTCCACCTCCCCACACCTAGCTCAGGAAAGGGGCTTTGCAGACTCTGTCACTGCAGACACTTCAAGATTCCACTCTGGACTCTGGCATGGAGGCTCTTGGTCTTGTCCTTGACCTTTAGACAGTTCTTAGCTCCCAGAGAGAACAGATTGCAAAACTATCATCAACAAAGGAAAGAATCAGGCATAGCTTCTAATAATGTAAAACATTCTGTTTTTATTGAAATAGTTTCTTCAAAATATGTCCTGATAGAAAAAGCTAGAAAGAGAGCATCCCAGCATGCCAGAGCTGGAGAGATCTGAGAAACTTCTAGTCTCATCTCATTTTACAGAGGAGGCCTGAAAACTTGGGGTTTAATTCTCACTGAGGCCCTTTCAGAGTCTCTCCAAGGTGGCCCCAGGTGCTGTGAGGAAACAGGAAACAGGAGGCTGGAGAAGAAGGAATGGCACCAGGGTTCTCTGTGAGGTGCCTTCGTGCCTGAGAGAGCCTGGCTTCCCCTCAGCCACAGCCTCCGACACAGCCTCGGCCTGTGCTGAAACCAGGCCTTGGAACAGGAAGTGCTCAGAACCTTTCCTGCTGTCACCATGGCACCCACGGCCACAGAGAAAACTACAGGCAAGCTCCCCTGCCAAGGCAGCTTGGCCCATAAGAAGACAAGGGTGAGCCCCCAATGTCATGAGCGCTTCCAGGCTTCAGGCTCAGAAGGTGACCTGTAATTCAGAGACCAGTGCAATGACAGTCCCTCCACTCAAGCTTTCCCTGTAGACACACCTGGGTGGGCTGCCAACTGTAAGTATGGCGGGGACTCTTCATCCACTTCAGAGATCGAGAAGGGCATCTTACTGACAGGGGCTGACTCCCTCTGGTCTACTTACCAAGGAGGAGCTTTGGGGGTTTCACACTGGGAAGCACGAGGGGTCTCAGAGCCCAGGGGCCATCACAAGGAGCTCCTGCCCACTCAGAGGCTTTTAAGAATGAACTCTCAAAACCCACGAAGGGGCAGATTGTCTGGTGGGGTGAAAAAAGAACAAATGCTTTTCCTGGCCACTGAGATCTCCCTGGATTTCAGGATCAGCTAGAAGGCTGTTGCATATTGAGTCTAAAAAAGCCGGGCTCAGTGGCTCAGCCTGTAATCCTGCGCCTTTGGGAGGCTGAGGTGAG